TGAAATCACTTTATTATGATTAATTATAGATTAACTACTGACAGTTTTAGACAGAATTTGCACACTGAACGCCACATAATATACAGACAGGGTTTGACACCCATACCACACAAAGGACTGTGAATGCAACTTTCTTTTATTATGAAAACTAAAGCATTGTCTTTTTTCTCCTCTTCAAATCTTTTTCCCTTTCTTAAGTTCTCCAAAGACTTATTTTAACAGGCATTTTGAAATGTGCCAAAAAGTAAATATGGGATAATCAATTCATTTAAAGAAATTAAACATAATTTGCACCAATAATGAATAAAATGCAAGGGATATGTAATTCGTTATTTCTTTGCTAGGCCTGATGGTTGGGGACCTTTGATACGTAGTGCATATATTGACTGTACCTTGATGTAATCCCTCCAGAACTGCAGCAGTGTAGCAAGTCCTCCCTTCACTTTACTAAACAGCTGGTAGAGGAGGGAGAGCTCAGTGACACGGTTCTCATCCAGCAGGGTGCTCAAACCTGGTAAGAAAAACATGCATCTACTGATGAACCTGGTCATGTTTATTACATATGATAAACACAGTGCACAATAAATGTCCTTCTGTTCCTGAGAAAAACAATTGACAAATGACTTCAATACAAACATACCTTTCTGTAGTATTGCTGTCATATGTTCTCCTAGAAGTTGTTTTTCAACACAGGTGATAAGAGGTTTTCTGTGTAATAATGGGAACATGGAAAAATAATTAACATTGTCTTTTTTAACTATACATTCCATGTGTAGGAAAATGCATAAGAAAAACTATACATTCCAGTAAAACAAAATACTGTTTATCTGTTTAGGAAAAACAAACATACTGGGTGCTCTGGTCGAGGTAGCTGACGATTCGATCATTCTCCTCCTCTAAGCGTCGAGCCACGTGATGCAAATACTCAGGTACCTGGACACACATGAAGTCAGCATGTTTTCACAGCAGGACACGCAGGTGAATGATGTATAGATTCAACTCACATCTCTTTCCTGCAGGAGCCGCTGTCCCTCTGCTGCATACAAACGATTTGTCTCCACCAAAAACCTCTCCTCAAAGGAATTTTTATAAACCTTAAAAAAAGCAGATGGACAAGTGGCAACAACAACTTCCAAGATTTTACTCATGATCACAATGATGAGGTGGTCAGCTACCTGCAAGTCTGACAGCATGCCCAACAAGCTCCTGAGCAAACTGCGATCCACCGTCTCCCCATTCCGCTCCAGTTCTATCTGCTCCAAAACTCCATCTACAGTGCGTTTCTGTACCACCGTGTCGCTCACAATGTGAGTACGAAATAATTCCAAACCTGTGTCCCTAAAACACACACTCAGGAACATCA